AGCAACTTCAGGGAGCATGATCTGCTGAGCACACACAGGTGAGGTAGACACGCAAATAAGTCGCGTCATGTTTGTGCTTTGTGGCTTTGTGTCAACAGAGAGAACGAAACCAGCAAGTTGCTGCACTTCTTGCCGAATGGAGAAAATTACATTCTCGCGTGGATCGTTTTCGTATTTGGGTCCAACTTTGTAATTGCATGGCTCCAGAAAGTGGCAATGTCAGACGTTTTTCTTTCTTTACCTAAAAACACACCTTTTTGCTGTTCGCGCAGTCCCAGTGCGTTTTTTTTTAAACGCACCTTTTTGCGACTGCGCAAGAGGAGTCCAGGTCCGACTACAGGGCTTTGGACGGGGGGTGCTCAAGCGGGACGCGCTGGCAGGCGGCTGTTGGCGGGCGCCTGCAGCCAGTGGGCGTCGGCGAGGAGCTCGTGCAGGGCAGGCGGATCGCCAGCAGCACCGAGCTCTGCAGCAGCAGGGAGCTCCAGGAGTGAGGGGGCGAAAGCTCGCTGGGCAGCAACAGACAGTATGCCACTCCAGCGGTGGACCCATGCGGCCTGCACAGCGCGGCGTAGTGCGGCCGGCGCGCTGGCCGCGCGGGCTCGCGCCAGCAGCCGAAGGAAGGTGGCGGCCTCCTGGCTCCAGCGGCCTCCGGTCTCAAGGCCGAAAACGACAAGGCGGCAGCGGCGGGCACGGGGCAGCTCGGGGTAAGTCTGCCGGCGTTTGCGCTGCGCAGCTCGGTCCAAAGCAACCCCAGGATGTGTATCAGCCGCTGGATGCGGCAAGCCTTCGCGCGAAAGCGGGGAGACTAGAGTAGCATCGACAGCGAGCTGGGCTCCATGCCACAAAGGGAGGCCATTGCACACGACCTCGATCCGACCCTGCGTCGTTGACGGGCACGTCAATGTTCATGTCAGCGACGCGAAGTGCGTTGGCGCCCAAATCCAGGGAAAAGCAGCAAGGCATGTCAGGGCATGCGGCTGGCAACAGGACTATGGTTCGGCGAGCAGGTCGCTGAGGAGGAAGGGATCTCCGTCGACGTTGGCTGTGGACGAGCACTTTTCTTGGGTTCAGTGCAAGCCTATCTAAAACTTGCGCATTGCTCCAAACAATATGCGGAACGGGCTCCAAAACGCAGCTCTCGTCCGACCACCGCAATTGGCTTCAGATTTTGGGTTTTTTGACTAACAATACACTCACGTGCATGTTTTCCCTGCAGAACAATCGCATTTGTGGGATAGGGACCCTAAAATACTCGCAGCGACATGAGGCCAGATCCAAGGATCAATCAAAATTTTAGTTTCCCAAATCGCTTTCCGTAACCTGCTACAGCTACAGGATTTCAAGCACGAGCTATGCACCATTCAAACGCGGCATGGAACGTCATCTCGTCGTCGTCGCATCGTCGCGCGTCCTCGTCGTCGCGTCGTCGCCGCGTCGTCGCTTCGTCATCGCATCGTCGTCCTCACCTCTACATCCTCTACCACCGCCTCGTTCCCGCGCCGCGTCGGCGCCGAACTTTACTTGCTATCCTCATCCGCTATATCCTCACCTGGACCGGGGCCTGAGGGCGGCGAAGGCACCGCTTGGGCATCTGTTCTCCACCGTACGCCGAACATGGCCGCCACCACATTCTAGAGGTCATGTGGGGGCTGCATCGAGGGCGGCAGCGAGGCTGGCTGCAGCGATCCTGTTAGGGCACCCATGATGCTGGCAGTTGCAGGGACTGTCAGGACACCCGGGAGCTGCAGTGACTGTGAGGGACCATGGGCTGCAGCAACTGTCGGTGCAGGGACTGTGAGGACATGTAGGGGCTGCACACCCCAAAAAAGTAAATGTCTATCCTAAGAAAGATTTTTCCCAAAACTCGTACCCACCTAGGCGCCATAGCCCAAAATAGGCAGGGGGGCTCCTTACAGAATTTGGTTCCGGGTTTGGGGTTGAGGGTTCGGCGAGGCCTGACTATTTGCAGAACACGACGACAATTCGCAGGCCCTGGGATTTCTCCTGCATCTTACAAGCCTCGCACTCGGGATCCCGTCAAGATTCTGTGGGGAAACGGCGTCCCCTCTTTTGCCGAAGCAAGGGCGGCAGCGAGGCGGCGACTGTGAGAGGGCACCTGCGAGGCTGTCAGCTGCAGGGTCTGTGTTGCAGCGACTGTGAGCTGCAGCTGTGAGGGCGCTTGCTCAGCTTCGGGGCGTGCCGGCTCGCTTCTTAACAGCTACGGAGCGCGACGGCTCGCTTTTCATCTCCGGAGCGCGACGGTTCGGCCTCGCCGCCAAGGGAGGTGTAGAGTGTCAAAGCTGCCGCCTTCTCGGACATGTACGGCTTGACCTGGAGCTGCCACAGAGAACTTGCGCTCGAACTTGCTCAAGGCCCCTCAGATCGTCCTTGGCATAGTTCCATTTTGGCGGAACCGGTGGCGCACCACCGCGCCAACGGATTCCCTTCTCAGGCCCTTCTGCCGAAAACCATGAATTCTCGGAGGGGTCCTTCTTCTTCAGCAACTTTCGAAAGTTTTTCAGGGTGTTGCTTTCATTGGCGGGGCTGTCGGCATCATCTCTCACAGCTACTCTGCCTTCCTGCTCTGCACGTTGCGCTCGCCTCTGTCTCCTGCTCGGTCGCCTTGTCGCTTCTCCAGCATCGCTTGACCCGCTTGGCGTCACCGTGGGATCCACCGTCGGCGCTTCGCTCTCAGCACGCTCGTCTCCATCACCGTCATCATGCGGAGGATCGCGCAGGGGAGCTCGCCGAAGTCCTTGTGCAGGTCCAGGCCTCGACCAGGTAGACGTCGAGGAAGTCGCCGAGGACCTGGGTGAGCTCGAGGAGGGCGAACCGGCAGCATGAGGAACATGTGTCCAGACTCCCCTGTCCGTCTCTTCAGTGACCGGCTGGTTGGCGTCATATAACTCAGAAGAGCCACACCTCGCGCAGAACCAATTGTTTTCAAGACGGTCCCAGCGGCAGTCCGTGCATCGGCAGATTCTGCAGACCCAGTTGGACATGACACTATTGCAGGTTGTCTATACCCCTCTCGGAAAACTCAGGGGAAGATTCAAGAAAGGCGGAACCTCAGCCCAAGCATGGGCTGGTCCCCGGAGGGTCCTGACTGGTAAGCCGGAAGGGAAAGCAAGTCGACCATGTCTCAGTCGTTCCTCCGGTCATCGTCCCAGTCTCTATCCCCGATGCATTCGGTCCTTCGCCGAGAAAATCGTGGAGGTCTGGAACAGCGTCACGAGGAGGCGGCCACAGGTTCGCCTCAAAGGCCATTGTGCCAATACAAGAAGACCATCGCCCGAAGGAATCCCAAAGGATCTATACAACCAAAACTCAACCCCCAAACCCCTCCGCACTTCGGTCTTGATGCTCCCGTACATGTCCATGGCAGATGGGCACCTACAGCGCGACGTGCGCGGGGACTTCCATGCATCTCAAGCAATCACCGCCAAACTGCATCCCCGTGGCCACGAGCATACAGAGCTGACGGATCTGGCGGCAGTCTGTGGCAGTCTTCGCAGCAGATGGTTTGCATTGTACAACATGCAGTGGTAACGCGCATGCTGAAGAAGGCACGTTGCCGGTTTGGCAGAAGCGGCAAGCCGGTTGCGCAGATGGTGCCGTCACATGTTGTCCACGCATCGCAGCATCGAGCAAAAGCGGACATACAGGCCACAGTAGATGCATTCAGCGGCATTGTTTCAAGCCCTGTTTCAGTCTAGTGGTCTGGACTGGTGACAAATAAGCTTGGGCTGGCAGCGGCGTAAGGCACCACATGCAAAACCACTGCAATGTTCAAGAAGCAACGTTTGTCGTCGCGGCAGGGCATTGGGGGCGAGTGCAGGCGCACCTGCAGGAACTTGCTCAGCCTAAGCAGCTCCCGCCAAGCGGCGGCGGCATGTGGCAGCACGCGGTCCACACGCTGGCCGGCTCGAATGGCTAAAGCATGCGAACAATCCGATGACTATGCGCAATCATCACCACGAAATTAGACGCAGCGAGAGCAGTCAACACTGTGAAATGTTGGTCCTTTACCTGTGAGTGGCTGGATCTCACTCCGAGCCAACGCGTGCTATGTCAGCAAACTCGTTTCGAGGCCGCCTGTTCTTCTGACCGTTTCTTCATTGTCAGGCAGCGTACGCAAGCCTACGATGGCCTATTCAGTGGGAGCTGTCACGAGTCTTGTATTTTCAGAGCCGGGTAACTCAGGCAGAGCCTGCATGTGAGCGCGTTGCGCCCCGGCCGCAAGCTCATGCAAGGGGAGGCAGTACTGGAATGCGCGATCGATAAAGAAACCTCGGCGACCCGCGGCGCTCGCGAGGGACGGGACGGCGCAATGCGTCTGCAGTGAAGTGAACGATATTGAACGCCAGCATGAGAAGTTGAGCGAAGCATTCCTCCGACTTCGCCGCACCACGTTGCATCCAACGTGGTTTCGCTGCAGCCAACCTATCGAGGCTCCGGAAGTCTTGAACGACGCTGAGACGCTGCGCGTGGCCGGGCCACCACAACCTTGAGGTGTCCCCATGCGTCCCACCTATCGGAGTGTGCGTCATGTCGATGCCACCGGATTGGGTTGACGCGTTGCAAAACGGACGAGCCCCGCTGGGGTGAGAAAACAAAGAAATGAGGACACTGTATTCTCGATATCAGAAAAGTGCAGCAGGGCGGTCTGGGCTTATTTAAGTAAATTCAGTGCACGCCAGATCTCCCAAAAAGCATCGAAGCGAGCGACATGAGCTCGCCTTGCCGGGCGAATGCCATTCCCGTTTGTCGTGATGGTGCCGCAGTGGCTGGAGCATCCGCAAACACAAGCAAAGGCAGCTAGCCTTATGAGGCTGAAGCTTCGCGCAGAACATAACTAGTGCCATCAAAATCCGTCAAGGCTTGCATCCATCGATAATGATTTCGAGACTTCGGGCTTCGCCTCCGGGCCTATGCAAGAGCAGTACGAGATGCACTTTTGTTCCGCTGCTTCACTCTGCAGAGACGCCCAGGACCCAGCTCTAGTCACAGCCTCGGCTCTCGCCATTCTCCAGATGCTGTTGCTTTACTGGATGGTCTCCGAGCACCGGTCGGAGGAGGAGATGCACACCGAACTCATCCTCGAACACCTGCAGAGAAAAGCCGGGCAACCCGTCCGGCCGCTTTCACCGACGTGCACCTGAGACAGCTCGTTCTTTTGAAGCGAGAAACCCACTTCCTCCAAGGGCATTGAAGACTTTGTTGTGGGACGAGGCGAAGTTAAGGAACGTCATCTATCTCCTCCACCTTCGGCTGCAGGCTGCCGCGCTCGACAACCCCCAGGTCACCGCCTCGGCAGACTGTCGTAGCGACTTTCAGCCACAATCCAAGGGTCTCCGGCCGTTCTTGCAGGTTGGATCATCCGACTGGTCGCGCGCAAGCTCGAAAAAGAGGAGCCTGAAGCATCCGGGCGCAGAGCAAAAAGCAATCAAGGAGGCCGGAGACAAAGACGATTGGCTTGGAAGCTTGCATGCGGCCGTTCCGGTACAGCGCTTACGCTTCAACAGAAATGGGAAGTGATGCCTTCGGGATCCCCAGAGCTGCCTTTGATGGTGTGTGCTGGGCTGCTCTTGTTTTGAGAGCCTTCGAGCTAACAAGAAAAAGGAGCCGTGACGAAGCAAACTCCACCGAAAGAGCCCTTTGAACCACCAAACCTGTCCTGCTGATGCCACACATGATGTGTTGCCACAGGCCACGGTTTGTTTGGGTGGTGTCCAGACGTGTAACAGCGTCCACAGCAAGAACGACCCTCGGACCCGGCTGAGCTGCGTTGTTCGGGTCTCTGGCTTGTGCCAGCAATACTGAAACAACCCTCACTAACAACTGATGCGATGAGTCCGTCTGCCGACTGCCGCTTGCTCGTTCGTTCTTCACATCAGCAACAACTCGGTTGGAATATCGAACTGCTTTCACAACTCAATTTTGCGAATTATCTCACGAAGTGTAGGCGGAATAGCACAGCCAACTACCAATGCTTGCGAATGTATTAAGGCACAACGCCACTCGATCCTCCATACTTCGCTTGTTTTGCAAACACATGGGTGTGAACATGCCGATGACGAGCGAGTCGTTTTGGGAGCTTTTTGTGAACAAAGAAGGTTTGTACCGCAGTAGTCAACCAACGGCAAATCGCTCCTGCGTGACATGCTAGGGCACGAGGTATCCTTGTGTGTCGTGCAAGTCTTCACTTACCACCTGTCACAACAAGCGGAATTCTGTATTGAAAAAGCTTGCTCATGTACTGGCGTAATAAATTAGTAGCCAGCTATTTGCTGCCTTCGTTGTTTGTATGTTTCTGGGCATGGGCTATAATTGGTACTCCAGACATCTCTAAGGCCAAGCTGCTGCATGGCCGGAGCTGCCGTGATCCGCTTGCGGAGGTTTTCCAAGGCTACCTTTGCCTGCAACGCAGTCCGAGAAAAGAGCTCCGCCACAGAGAAAGCTCTGCTCTACCGCTCGGGCTCGGGCCTTGCCCTTCGAGCAGGTGACCGCCTCACCTCGCCAGGTTTCGGGCTTTCTCGCCCCTTTGTACTTCTTTAAGATGTGGTACAGGTGGACCTGCGATGCTGAGGCGTCAGGAGCGGATGATCTGCCGAGAAGCCAGGCCAATGCCTTGTCGGAAGCCTTGAGCTTCTTGGCCGGTGCTTCCTCTTTTCCGTTCTCTTTACCCTCCTGCAAACCAAACACCGTCTCTGCAAAAGAAAGGGCTCGACCGGCTTTATCTGTTGGATCCTTCAGCTCTCCACAGTTCGTGATGATGGCCTTTGCATCACCAAGACCCGGCCTTAGCTAGGCGACGAGATATCAGCAAACCGAGGCCGGTGCAAGGCCGACCGGAATGCCAGCACACCGTGATGCTTCTGTGATCGGCCTGCCAGTGCGCACTGCACGAAAATAAACCAGTTTTGGGCCTTCTGAGACATTGGCAGAGCTCGGATCCCGCATCCGCTGTGCCGCAGGTTTCTTCGATCCCTTGGACTCCACGCTCCACCAATCTACGAAAATCCATGACATGTCTCTTGCGCCATTGTCAAGGCAAGGGGCGCCGCACCGTGCCCATGCCTTCAACCACCCGCCCGAAGACCACATGCTTCAGATCCAGCTTCGGATAGGCCTCCGGCTCTCAAGCACGAAGTTTGAACTGCTCGGATATTTGGGTCCTGGGGTTCCCACCTTCGTCAGTATGAAGAACTGAGAGCCTGAAGCCACAGACCGTTCAGCCTTCCTGGCCACCGGCCCCGCACGGCCCGCTGTGTAAGGAGGGAGCTGTTTGTGTTTGGCCCCCGGTTCGCCATGCTCAGCAGCCCTCACCAGGTGCCAGGGCAAGGGAGGGCCGAGGCAGCGTTGCGTCGAAACCTGCCGAGTCGTGCGAGAGGTCGAAGCTCTCGTCCTCGAAGGTTGGGCCGTAGACCTTCGTGGCTCGATTTGCCTTGGCTCTCCCTCCACTGCAAATGCTGCTCTTCTGATGCTCCCGGCAGACTCGCCACCTGTTCCGTCGCCCCTTGTTATGTCGCCTCCTGCGCTCAAAGAAAAAGGACAGTCTCGGCTTTGGCACAAGATGTGGCCTTGGATGGCAAACCCCGGTACCACCTCGTGCGTGCCGTTTCTTGCCACTTCTTGTCGCTTTGCCGTGGGACTCTTCAGGCTCCGCGCTCGATGAAAGGCGTTGCCCTGCAGGTGCAGCGGCTTGCCAAACCTTCCACAGGGAACGCTGCCAGCAGGCTTTCTAAAGCCGCACCGCTTCTCAAACTATTCCCTCAGCCAGTGGCTCCCCGAGGCCCATTTCCCCGGTGCACAGACATCGAAAGTTCTCGGCCTGGGCAAAGCAGAGCAAGTGCTTGCTCGGCACATGGCTGTACATGTGTCTTTCACCGAAAAGGACCAGTAAAGTGTTCAACTGCGTTGCTTCGGCTTAAACGGCTCATGTCTCGGCGACAGAAGTCGAAGACAATGAATGAGGCCCAACGTTAAGCACCATGCGGTCTTGGGGACCAGATCCGAGAACAATTCACCTCAGCTTTCGAGAAGAGACTTGGAGGTGAACGGGTCTGCACTTGCTGCCACGGGTCAGACGACGCGCACTGCTGGATGCCCCGCCACCTGCGGAATCGCTACACGTTTCAAGACCCATCGAAGAATTGCGACAATCGACCGCGCAACTCGCCATGACATTATGCATGCATGTCAACACAACAAATACAGACAAACTTCATAACTTCATCCCCTGATCGGCCCCTCCTCGACGTCCAGAAACACGCGAGGTCGCTCCGGGAAGCTCTCTCTTGCTCGCTTCTGCGCCTCCTTCCTGACTTCAGCCTCGGTAGCATCCGCGTTCTTGCCTAAGCTTTGGTTCACTTGACCTCAGACGGAAACGTCACTCTTGTCCAGGCGCCACTGGTTGGGAGCATTGTTTCCCACCTCTCCGGAAAGCAGAGCACACAAGAGCCCCCAGATCTCAACCACAGGAAGTTAGTGCCAATGCTGCCTTCAGCGACCCTCTGCCGACAAGACGTGAAGACGCCAGGGCGAATCCCAAGCAAGACCTAGAGGGGAGAGAAGGAAGAAACATGTCAAGAAGTTTCATAATTTTTCATAGTCTCTGGGTGCCCGGCATGATCAGAGCGAGGGCCAAACACTGCAGCAACACCCTACGCAATCTGCATCTAGTCCTTTGATTGAGCAGATGTCTTTCCCTGATGATCCACTGAATGACCTCCCAACTACACAGCTAATGACGGCTAAGCCTCCTTTCTTAATCGTGTTGCTGTACGTAGCTCATGAGCTGCTCACAGGTGGGGATGGCCATAGTATTTCATGAGCCAAATGCATCTGGCGACACCCTGATGCAGAACCTTCCTTTAAAGGTGAATGCAACGCACTCGGTGCGAACAGCAAAAAGCGATGCACACATAAAGGCCGTTGCTACACTCATCACATCTCATCGTCGCAAACGTCAGCAGCACGAACATGCATGAACAAAAAGTTGTGCACACTTCTCTATCAACGAGGTCATCGCTTATCCCACTCGTTTTATCCCCAGACGACGCGTGGGTAGTAGCAGCAGCTGGAGTACTAGCAGTAGTTCGTAGTAGCAGCAGGAGTAGTAGCAAAAGTGGGCAAGGAGCATTTACTGGCTAATAGTTGGTATTGCAGGACTTCGCAGTGCGTTCCTCGTAGTGTGTCGTTTTTCCATTAGTAGGCAGCCGGCAGTTAGCAGACCTGAGCAGTTAGTAGTCATTAGGCAATCGCTTGTTCTTAGTCGATAGTGGATAGTAGCTGGTAGTTGGCTTGTTCCAGATATACATTACTACGATGCGGCTACAGCTATACTAGCTATATGGCTACGAGTACGACTACGATGACTACATCGATTCATCGATAACCATTCTGATGATTACCACGACAACAACTACTACGACTATTTGGACGATTTACTGACTGCCACTGCTTCTATTCCCAATGTGCCCGTTGCGGGAAGTGCTTCTGCTGCTGCGCTAAAGGGCCGGCATGCACTAGCAAATGAAAGGTAAATGAGTGCTGCCGTGTAAGCTTTCGAGCACTCACGTTACCGCAGGCGAGCTGTCGTTTCTTATCACGCGATCAGCTTCCTACATGTTGCTTGATTTGGCATCCGCTTTCTATCAGCTAGCACCCCCGCCAGAGTGAAACCCCGTGTTACCATGTTGGTTCCTTGTTCCCCGTGTCGCGTAAGACTTTTCTTGCGCACGATTTCCAGTTGCAACATATTGCAACCGCGAACATCCCGTTGTTAGTTTTGTATTCATAATGCTAACTGCTAGCAGGACCAGACCATCTTCAGGCTTGACATGAACATGACTGCTGGCCCACAGTTAAAGCCAACTGCTCAAGATTTGCCTCACTCGAGCTTTGCGACAGCTGCGGGAGTGAGTCCCTCAGCATCACCTTTTCCGTCGGAACGCGGATACCCCAGACCCCTTCCCCTGCCGAAGCGACGGTTGCTTTCAACCACCGTGTGTTGCCGTCAGGAGGCCACTAAGATTCATTTGGCGGCATGCTTCCCGCGGGCTTTTCGCGAAAAGCACCTACCCGCATGCTCCTGACCCCGCTCACTTTCAAGATCACATCTGCGTCGATGAGAATTCCTCTCAGGGTGTGTTCCTATTCTCGTCCCGAGACACACGAACTGCTTTTCGACTGCAGGCCTCAATTCGCACGTCCCGAGGGTCTCGCAAGTTGACGAGGACAATGGCGGGGTGCAAGTGGAACGCCGGGACACAGATGCACCTCAGGCCCGGCAGCAAGCAGCAGAAGTCAGGAAATGAACAAGGTTCCACAAATCCTGAGATTGATGCTGGGTGCCTCCTCCTCCGCGGGCACACGGACGCCAGTGGTGCACCTTGTGGTGCCACTCGGTGTGCACAGGAGAAGGCCCACAGCACATCACCCACACGCTTTGTCTCTGGAGCTGGCAGCTCTTTCGTGGCCACCAGAGAAGAGGATGTGAGGAACCTCGCCGGCAGACGACTCGAGGTTCACCGAAGAGCTCTTCGGCTGAGAGCAACACGGATTCCAAAACAAAGGGGTCCGAGTCTTCGAAGGGCTGCGTGAGGAGCCTTGCTCTCTGGCTGAGCGCCAAGCTGCCGCTGGGCTGGGCAAAGGGCGGCACATAGCTGGGCCGAGCACGTGTCCGGTGCGGTGGGAGCCAAGTGGCGTGCCTCTTGTCGTGAAGATTAAGGCAATTTTTGACACAGCTCTGGCGAGCCGAGACAGCCTCCAGGCACTTCTTCAGCGCCTCTACGGGCTGGAGCTGTGCACAGCGGAGCAGGTCCTGAACTTGCGACTTTATGCACGTTTTGTTGGCTCTGCGGTTCAGCTCTCCTTGACGGGCTCCCCAGAGTGTCCCAGGACCTCCAAACCGTCGAAGTTGAGGCTACAGGGGTTGCCTGGCGACGCCCCGAGGTGGAAAACGAAAGAAACCAAGGGCCCAAGGGCGCCAGGGGCCGTGCCCACGGGCCGAAAACCAGCGGACGAGGAGAGCTGGCCAAAGAGGCTTCGATGAAACCTGTTCACCAAGCCACTCTGTTACTAGTAGCACCGAGAACATCGGCCGTTGAGGAGGTGGCGGCAGCTGAGGCATGCTGGCATTCGTCGGTTCTCCATAGCTGGGCATGACCTGTGGCGGCGAGAGTGTTGCAATGGATGGATTTGACCGAGTTTGGGCTTTGTTTCTTGTCTGTGTCTTTGCTGTAGATCTGAGCAAGCATGCTTCCAGTTGCAACATCCCCTCGGCCCTTCGGTGACGTTGCGCCTGGACAGGCTTAGCCTCCACAAGAGGCAGCAGCTCGCTGTCCATCTGCTTCAGCGCCACCGCTACAGCCTCCGGCAAGAACTGGGCCCCAGCTTTGCGTGCAAAGAATCAATTTCCGTTTCCGACAAAGACAGCCCGAGCTCGGGCTCCTAATCGAAGCACGGCACCCTCCGACTGAGTTGTTTCTCGCCCCCAGAAGATGCAGATGGATCTCTAGCGGTCACTATCAATGTGGTAGAATTAGTAATTAGCCGCCGTAACTCAGCCAGCCACCTTTGAATCGCCGTCCAGCTGACAGCTTGGTGCAAAGCAGCCCCCGCCTGGTCGTGCGTGCGCAGTGCGTGGGAGCGCTGCGATGGCAGCATGATCAAAAGCTCCGTTGCACAAACGTTGCCAACTCTGGTGATGCAACTCCGACTCCAACACTCTCCAAAGCCCATTTAACACGCATGTCTCATCGTGGATGACTTTTCCGAGAGCGGCACACATCACGACTTGCTCGATGGCCGGCCCCGTGGCCTGAAGCTCAGCAGAAACGTGATTGCGAAGCGGAATGACGGAGACTGACAGCCTTGCGCAGGAAATCGATAGCTTGTCTTCGTGCCTGTAGGTTTTGCATGCTTGTATGCTGCTCCTCACACGAATCCCCGAGCTATGTTGAAAATGAGAATGGGCACCGGATGCCTCCACAGTCTTATCGTCGCCGAATCCAATGCCAGATACAAGCGCAATGTATGGCCTCAACCCATCCGGTCTTGAAAATTGGCTCAGGCTACTGTCCAACGCTCCGTCTTGGATCCTGGCCCCTTTGTCTGTGGCCTGGGATCGTGCAGAGTGCCCAGGACGGCAAGCATTGCGCTGTTAGGCGCCATGCGAAGACATCACGGGTACCACCGGAATCCTTCACACAACAAGAACTCAACAACAAGGCGATACACAGTCTGCGAAGTGGAGCGTCCTCGGCATCTGCACGCCACTGACCCTAAGGGTGCCAGCCTGATCCGAGCTCAACATGTGGAACGCTTATCGTTTCGCACACCATCTCATCATCTGAATCGTGATTCCGAGAAACGCTTGCTGACAATCATGGCTGTTTCCGTTACATGCTTCCGGCGCCTGTGTCGCCACGCCACGCACCGCCACAACGAAGCCAGTGGCAAACACGGCCTTACTGTACGATTGAAAATAAATTAGGACCGAAACCGCTCTGGCATGTTTCGGGACTCGGGCAAGCAGCTCGGGCGCGACCTCCAGCTGGATTCGCATGACGCTGTCCTGCAATTGCCGTCGTTCCGTCGTTCTCCCGTACCGGCTCATGGCTCTTCCCATCTCCTCCAGCCAAAGCGTATCCTTCTCGGAATATAGCACTGATGCTTCATCCTGTGAGGAACACAAAGACGGCATGACAAACAAATCAAAGCTGAGATTTCCGAACCTTGACGCTGCTGAGCAGAGCTTTGCTGCCCTTGTACCTAACAACACCATTCAGCAGGGCAGCAGGAAGAAAAATAGTTTGCCTATTCTTCCCTGCAGCCAACCAACTCGTCAATGACGTTGGGTCGGTTGTGCAGCTCCTGCAACGCTGCAAGAACACCGAACCCTCATGAAACGTATTGCTCATCAGCAGCTTCACATCGAAGCCGGTGAAGGCGTCTTGGGCCCTTGTTTCTGCTCTGCTGAGAATGATCCCACACACTACTACTCCTCGGCTGCGGCATGAACGTCGAATCGAACAGCGAACCACACGAACCACTGAACCCACCCGAAAATCCGAACCGCAGTTCAAAATCCACCCTTCCTTCCTTCCAAGGAGGTAAGTCCGCAGGCAGAGTCCACCCCTCCATCTAACTCCTCTCCCAGAGCGTGCCCCCTCCTCGGCCGATTTTTTGCACTGAACCGACCCGCCCTGAATCGAACCGCAACGGTTCAAGACCCATCCCGTAAAGCGAAACCAAGCAGAATGAAATGTGGCTTGGAATTGGATTGGATCATTCGCAGGATATTTCGTGGAACTCAGAGTGACGACAAACCGTGCAAGTTTGCTGCGCCCGATTCAATGACCCCACAATCTAGTTGCCAGGCACAGCACACGAAATGAAACAGAGCTGGGACTTGTATGTAAGAAGGCGTATGGCTTCGACTGAACCAACATGCCGACCTTAAAAGGGCTTCGGCTTGTATCTTCTCACGATGTGTGGCAGGCAAGTGTAGGTTCTGTGTGCTAGCAGTGGACAAATTTGTACACAGAAGCTACAACAGGTTGGGAGGCAGAAGTTGGATTCGTTTGGGTCTGTCAGGTTGGGTTGGATTCGGATCCGGTGTGGAGGATCAAGTTTGGCTCGCGGTCCGTGAGAACGTGTCGGCAGTAGATCGAGGCTGGGGAGGAGGTTGGATGAGACATGATTCTAGTTGCTGCTGTGCTAGAACGGGTTTGTTGGTGCTGACAGTGATCTTGGAACCTGCAATTCCGGCAGAAACGAATAAGCATTTCCCAGCTCCTAGCAGCATGGTGATCCCCACACATCCCTCGCCTTGAAGAGGATCCCCACAACCACGATCTCTCCGTCGCTGCCGCCTCGAAACTCGCTGAGATCCTGAAGGAAGCCTGCAGAGTCAAAAGGAGCGTCGTCAAAAACCCGCTCAGAGCTCAGAGCCTCGGTAAAAGAGTAAAAGCGAAAGTAAGCTACGGCCTCTCTCTGCTACGGAGCTCCACTGCTGCTTTGCCTCCGAGACACATCACGCGAGGATTTGTTTGGAAGATTCGAATTACATGTTCCCCCGGCTCAGGCAGAGTGACAGAGCCTCCTCTCGACAGGCACCTCACCCACGCCGCATCAAGGAAGAAGCGCTGAGGCATTGCTCGTTTTGCTTGAGCTCCGGCCTGCCAGCTGCTTCAGTCGGAGTCGGTAGAGGTTGTTGTACCTCATGATGCACCGGATCCAGCAACACACGGCGGGCACCCATATGTGTTACAAGAAAATGCTCTGCTGCAGAGGCTCTGCTGCCAGTTGCTGCCCTTGTCACCTCACAAATTTACTGCACTTCAAAGTCTTGACATATGGCAACGCCAGGCAACGCGAACTTGGCCCTTGACGTGTGAAGCCACTCTGAAATCTGCCACTGCAGGCTGTCGCAACTCTGCGCGGCACCGGAGGGCTGGACCTGCGGCCGAACACTGACTCACTGGGGCTCGCCAGGGATCTGCGGATCTATGGAGAAGCCCGAGCTCACGACTTCTCCGGCGTTGGCACACCTGCACCTCAAGAAGCAGGCTTGGCGGTGCAAGCGCACCCTGACCCTGGGAGTTTTAAGTGCCGAACATGGCGAGCCAGCTTTTTGGCTCTGCTCGTCTTTGGTTGGTGTTCTGGCTTCGCCTCGCTTGCCAACCCACAAACGGCGGAGCCTACTCCCAGAAGGCCCGGAAGGGCCGACGCCTGGACCTGAAGGTTTCAGAGTCTCCCTCGTGGACGGCTCCGGCTGCTTGAGCTCCAACGGTTTGCTCGCTGGAGGTGCCTGGTCGCGCTCGCACGGCAGCTCTCTGCACTAGACCCGCGCAAGCTACGGCACTGGCCTCAACGGTCTTCTTTGGCCTGGCGTGGTACTAGATGCACTGCACGGCTGACCGTGAAGTGACGAGCCGAGGGCAGGGCCCAAAGAACGAGGAAATGTTTCCCGTTCCCTGCGATGCAATGCGAGCCTCAGCAGCAAGAGTACCATCATTGGCAGCAGCAGCAGCAGGGGTTTCAGACAGTCCACCACGAAGTTTGCTTCAGATACATTGGAGGGAAGAGTAGCAGCCCGGTCGGTGGTATCGTCTTCGTCGTCCATTTCTCATCCGCATCACCGTCATCGTCGTGATGTTCAGCGTCATCATCTTATCTTCATCCGATCATGATCAGGCGATGTCGATGGTGACGACACGATCTTCTGATAATTGTAATTAAGCAAATGATGCTGATGATGTACTGATGATACACCTGATGCTTCTGACGATGCCGTTATTGATCATGCTGGCGTAGTTGACACCGCTACGGCTACTAAAATGCTTCGGCACAGGTGAGCGTGCCTTCTTTGCTGCCGGCGCCATGCAGGGCAGGAAATGCGAGAACTGAGAATCACTGAATGATGAGTCGATGAAACTTCGGCTGTCTTCCCAAACTTAAAGTATGAAGCTGAAGGAACATGTTTAAGGCTTGAGTGTCAGTGTTGAGCGTTATTTCCCTGTGCTGGATCCAATAGGACACGACAGACAATCTTGGAGCAACCTTCTGGACATCTGCTGCACAAGCGTACATCACAGCCACCTTTTGCAACCGAGTGCAAAGCTTACTCGATCTCATGCCTCTGTAGCAAGGCTCCAAAGACGAGACCGTGCCACATCAGGCGCTCATCAGCCGCCAGATTCAGCGAAAGCATCCGCAATTCGGACTTGCGGGCTGCTTCCAACAAAAAATCCATGCAAATCTCGGGACCGGCAGCCACTTCACCATTGCTTGCACAGGCGCGGGACGCACGCGTCAAGGGAACAAAGACCTCTTCACGCAGCCCTCTGCCGAAGATCTGGTCTGTATGTCTGCGAATAGCCTGCACTGCTGTCGGGCTGACCTCCATAAGACCTCCAGAGTCTTCAGAGTCCAGCGATGTGCGAACAAACTGTTCGAAGACCTCATCATCCAGCCTCGCTTGCAGTTCCTCTTGTGAAAACCTGCGGGATTCGGGCTCCTTCTGGTGATCGTAGACTTGGGCTGCAAGCTTCAGGCGTTGAACATCAGGATTTAGACTCAGCAACCCGGAGCTCTGGACCAAATCAAAGCGCTGGCTGAGCCGGCTGAGCAGGTACCCGAAAAGCACATGTCCGAAGTACCTGTCCGCCTGTGCGACACGTGTGTTCGACATGAATTCAAAATATTTTTGGATCTGCAAAGCTATTTCGGACTTATTCTGCGAGGGATGCTTTACGATTGCAAGCGGGACGAGGCCCTCTGAACCTGATCGGTTCCAGTCCGGCAGGCCGCTCGCACCAGCAAAGCTCCGCGCGGCCTTCAGGACCAACTGCTTCGAGGAGTTCACAAGTTGGAGGAGGCTCCTGCTGTCAGCGATTCCCGCGAGGCCACTCTCCGACGCAACGTATGTGCGCAGAAGACGGGAGCCACGGGAGCCCCAAGTGCTGCCAAGCACAGCTTGCTCCATGGCCTGGCGCACTGGACGTGTGAGCGGCAAGAGAGTTACTGGAAAGGCCGAGGCCTCACCTGCTAAATCAAGCCACTTCTCTGCCCCTCCACAAAACGTCCAAGTCTTGTTGCGGCTGTCCAGACATGGCGGCAGCGGAAGATGAAGTGCAAAGTATTCCCGCATCACTCGGAGATACTGCAGATCTGCCTTCAAACGTTCCCCCACTTCTCGAGAAAATGACTCTTCCAGGGAGGACGCGAGTCTGGAGCAAGTGTTGCATAAGGACTTGAGTGTTGTTTCGAAAGTGGCATCGAAGTTTTGAAAGGGCACATGGCGGTCCGGCCAGTTTAAAAGCAAATAAAGCAAAGACTCGTCGGCCTCTCTCGCATTCATGTGCCGCCTGCGCTGGGCTGCACATGCTGCACGCTTGTCTACGGCTGTCACCTCCTCTGCATGGCGGCAAGCTGCTGCCTCTGCCTCTGCTTCGAGGCCTTCGAGGCCTTCGAGGCCGAGGTCCTTCGCGAAGTCCTCAAAGTTCTCCACGATCTCTTCCAAGGCGCAGGCTCCCATGCGGTCGGCCCAAAAGACGGCAGCATGCACGTGATCCGTGAGATTTAACCGGGCCAACCATGCCCGAAGGCCAGGAACCCCTCCGTCCCTGCACTTCTGAGCAATGCTGTTCCAAATGGAGGAAAACTCCTCATCGGCCACGCTGTGCGCATCAATCAAGATCTCTTCAAGATCCTTGCCGGCAGAGGTGATTGCAGCCTGCGGCCGGGGGCGTGCGAGGCGTGCGAGACGTGCGCTCCTCCAAAGCTTCGCTGATCTCTCAGCGGCTGTGCTTCCCACCCAGACTTGACGAAGTCCGAAACAGACAGCCAAGAGAAGAAAATACCCCCTTCTACCCCGTAGGACTCGGTCAAACCAGACGGCAGGATAGCGCCTGCCTGACACCACAGCTGTACATGAGATGCCCATCGTCGCGGTCTTTCTGCAAAAAGTTCGTGAGTGCCACGTATCAACACATGATTGAAATTCGATTGAGCTCAAAAGGTGGGACCAGGACACCTGTCTATGCGTGCCTGCATGCATTACAATTACAACGGCCGCAGCAATCCACACACACTAAAGATATGTTTCAAGGTGATTGGACCTGGAACCAAGACAGGAGCGACGGCGCGTGTGACTGGCCGGCGGCATCCACATGGTCAGCATGGCGTAACATTGCGAAGCCCTTTGTCGGCATTCACATATCCAAGTCATACCGCCACTCAGGTATCCTGTCAAGCAGCGCCCAGTGCTCTGGAACAGAGAGGATGTTGTTCGCGCCTTATGAAATGGGCCGCAATAAATCTGACAAAAGACTCCCCAGTCTTCCGAGTGTCCCACAGATGTGGCCACTCATGGCTGCGGAAGGAACTCCAATGCCAGGATAGGTCGAGTCCCCACAGAGGTGCAGTCCTGATCTCACTGCTCTAACGGAGCACCACGGAGTCACAACGGCAGTCCTGGAAGCGGTGTCGTGTGCCCTGGAAGGTTGGAGCCTGCAAGCACCTTCTGAGCAAAGCCGGCTTAGCTGGCACGGCTCTTTCTTGCTGGCGCAGGGGCTTGCAGGCTCGGCGTAACTTCGATACTGTTTGTCATCAACCTTCCTACCCTGTCAGTCATGCATTGAACATCCTTATTTCACGGCGTTCTGAGCTCAGAAGTCTCCGTTCGCGTGCCGTGAGACTGAGGGAAGCGCCCGCCAGCCATAGGCACCTCTGGGCTTTCTCAAGAAGCGCCTCGTCACGCATGACGTCGGTGACCAAGCTACGCAGCCGTATGCAGCCGTCAAGTGGCGGCTGGGCTCCTGGGCTCCTGGGCTCCTGACGCATGTGTCAGTGGTGTTCCAACCTTCTGGAAGACAATTCTTGAACGGATGTCGGGAACCTAGGACGGGGACTGCGCACTTAGGGGCCTTGTTGATTTCTGCCAAGCTCAGTGGAAGGCTTGACGCTCGATCGCAGAGATGAGGAAGTCCCCGGCTTCTTTCTTCTTCTGCTGATACCTCGGCACGAGCAGAACTCTTGCACAAGCTCCACATTGCCCTGCATCGCACAACCTGTGTGAATGTCCCGACTTATGCCTAGACGAGACCACGCTCGGTGTCATGGCCAGGTGGCTCTTCGCGAGAGAGATCCTCCAATCAAAAAAACCGTTTTTTTCTCAGCACGTAGAGCGCATGCCTCTTCGTACAAACACGCCAGTGCCGCTTGCCAGTCTTCCCAGGGCTCAGTCGCAGGGGTGTAGGCGTGCAAGCTGTGGTAGCCCTTGCACCACAAGCGGTAACTAGTCAGGTAGTCGCACAGATTGGTGCTCATCCCGACCTCCGGGGCAAAGTTGTCCAGCAGCGATGGCACGCTGACTAGCACGCAGTTCCTTGAAGCTTTAGAGCCACTGCGGCAGTACAAAGACGCGAAGCCCCCCTTGCCCGCTTGCCCAGCAAGGCCTGGGCGCTTCCAGGTCTGTCCAATGGTTCACCACACCCCACTGCGCCGGGAACTCTGGACAGTGCCGTCGCGGCAGACCCTGCAGACATCTGCAGAACTTCAGAGCCACTTCCCAAGAGCTTGAAGCACATGTGATGACATACCTTGCCTCTCCTCGAAAAGCCATGTGAACATGGATGAAGGACTTGAGTGGCTCGAAGCTGGACCATTGCTCCTGACTCTCCGTGAGCCACAGTTGCAACGGAATGCTTGTCCAGCCTCGAAGAAGGACTCGAGCTCAGGAACCTTTAAACCAAGAGAGGAGAGCTGTAGAGGAGAGGACGCCAAAGAAAAATAGAAAAATCCGCCCTCTCCGGGGCCTGGCCTCGGCCTTGACCAAGCCTTTTGCAACGCCGATGTCAGTTCCGCAAACCACGGCCTCGCGGCTGCAGCCGCTCCCGCTTTTTACGAAAGAAGCCCAGGTTTCGGGCCTGGGGCCCTGGCCTCTCGGGCTCGAATCTCAGCGCCACTGCGCAGCCGCACGCCCGAGGCCCGGCCGCTCTCGACGAGGATCTCCTCGACGTGTGCCTGGCTTTGCCCCAGGAAAATAAAGGCATGCGCCGCCGTCCGTCACCCGCTGCCTTGGTCAGCACCTTTCCAGAAGGACTGGTCTCCAGGATGCCATCAACGAGCGCCTCAACAGCGATCTGCTGATGACTGCCGTCAATCTTGCAGCAAACTAAAGACGACGGCGACCAAGTTAAGCACCAACTGCCGCAAACAACACTTCACTACAAAAATCGACACCGCCACGCCCCGGGCCATGATAAAGAAAAGGACCACGACTACAACGGACACGGCTCCAATAATGACAACCACGACCAGCTGCTGCGGCAGCCACAGCAAAACCAATCAACAGTAGCAGGAAGTAGCCGCAGCAACGGCAGCAGCAGCAACAGCAGCAGCAACAGCAGCAGCAGCAGCAACAGCAGCATCAGCAACAGCAGCAGCAGCAGCAAGCATCAGTAGCAGCAGCAGTGGCAGCAGCATCTGCACATCATCATACCAATCACAAGCAGTCCTTCGGTAGAGCAACATGGCTTTCCCACGACTCCCAGTGAGAGGAGAAAAAAAAAGTAGCAGGTGGGCCTGCACTATGGATTCGGAGCCGCCCTTCGGATAATCCAGACCTCAAGGCATCAAGGCGGGCAACGCAGTAGGAAGGTCGCATCAGCATAACTCCGTGAGACAACCTTCTGAGTTGGAGATGCAGATGTATAGGGCCTATAGGGCTCGGACATGTACCACCCTTGCGGTAGAGATCGGCCATCATGTAAGCCTTATGAGCTTCTCCAGCGTCGACGGAAGCTTCAGTCAACTCCCGGGATGCCGGCCATCATGGACGTTGGGGACCCATAACTTGGGAGCCCCTGCAGCAGGAAACTGAAGAGGCTGAGGTAGTTCCTGACGGAGTCGATCTGCGACCTCTTCAAATTCAATGCTTTCCAGCCTGACAAAATCGTCTGTGACACCAGCTTCCTTCAGGAAGGCCTCGCGCCGTGGCATGCTTCTACCGCGATCTTGACGTGGCTCTTCCCCTCCCGCCTCAAAAGGCTGGCTCAGTCGTGCCGCCCCTTCAGGGCATCAGGACACTTTGCCGCTCCTTCACGAGGCCAGCTAGTCAGCCTCCAGGGATCCCGAACAAGAGCGGAAGGAGGCGCCTGCGGCAAAATGCCGCGACTCTGTAGACACACCCGATCTCACCTCGTGCCTCGTATATCTGCCCAAGGTAATGGGTGCGAAGGGATCGTCTCGGAGAGCCCCGAAGGGCGGACTGTTGTAGAGGGCGTCGGACATGGGCTTCAGCTCGGCCATCAACTCTTGCCACTGGCTCACCGCATCGGGACCTCACAGCAAAGACAGTCAAAGTCAACCTGCAGAGTTGGGTCGATCGAAACCGCTAAAGGGCCTCCATATCTTGGCAGCAGCTTGTTGACCACCTCCTGATAGCCTACTGCAACGTTCACTTCGCCCTCGGGCAAGAAGGCATTCCACCCTGGCTCGTGGCTGGCAACAAAGATGATAGTCAAGATACTGCCAAGCTCTTACAGGCAAGGTACGGTCATAGGTAATCCACTCAGGCTCCTTCAGCACAGCAAAGCGGATTAACAACCAAAAGACTGGGCCATGGGACCAAGACAGCGGTTGGTCCTTGCCGATGATCTGGAACACATGCTTCAATTGGGATGGGCTTGCTTCCAAGCTCAGGCCGCTGTACAGCGATGGCCCCGACTCGAAGTGAAATTCCTCGGTGCTTCCAGCGGCAATGAGCACACAGCAGAGCAGCTCGGCACGTGACAGCCAGGTGGCTCCGATGTCTTCGACCCTCTCGGTGAAAGTATGGCAGGCGCCACCCAACCTTTGAGCGACTACGCAGAAGCACAGTTGAAGTTGCGAAGACGTTAGACCGACACTTCTGAAGCGACCAATCCACCAGTGAAATCATACTGGCCGTGTGTGAAACCACGAGTGAGTGTCAAGCAGCCTGTAGTGAGATTCACATACAGTGACTTTCCGACCAGCTGCCGCCAGAACGGCTGCGCAGCTTAAGCCGCCAAGGCCGCTTCCGATCACGACCACATCCTAACTCAAACTCTGACACATCACATGTCAATCCATGATCAGCCGAGCAAAAAAACGTGCATGTGAATGTCGAGCACCTGTGACATGGACAAGCTTCAGTTTCGTGGTCCAGGGCTTGGGCCTTGCAGACAATCCCACTTCCTCAGTCTACACATGCACCAATCGAAGTGCTTGCTAACACTGTTCAATCAGGACACTTCTTCGCCACCCGAACGTCGATCTAGACCGGCAGAACTGCAGCCCCTTCCTGAGCAAGACTTCCGCGCCATAGAACACGCTCTGCATGCGCATCAAACGTCAAGCTTCAGCTCAGAAATCTGACATGAAACAAGTGGCCGTGAGCATGTTGCTGCCACGGAGACAACAAAGCTGGCAGCAACTCTATCCAACGCGGCACGTGACGGAGACGAAGATGCCTTAAATCTCATGCCAGTCTTCAGCTGTCATGGGAATGCAGTGCAAGTGAAACAGTGTCTCAGTAAACGAACACTTCCAACGCTACGCGTGGCAATAATGCAGCCAAAATCTACGCTGACGTGGCGGCTCCACCTGAATCTCGGCTTACCCACGTGGTGGTGGCTATTCGATTCAGCCTGATGCGCCGGCCTCATGGACAAACGTTACTCGATGGCAAACGATTGAAACAATATGAAACCATGCTGATGCTGCCTCGCTGGTCGTAGCAACATGGCATGCAAACATTAGGAATTCATGGAGGCTTCAATTGTCGCACTGTAAATGCATCAACCTGCTGTCTAGTGTTTACTTTGTTCCCTGGCAGTGCCAGAAGCTAATCGAACGTTGTACTATCCTCTCGGTTCTCGTGTCCATCATTTCAGCAGCGAGAGAATGCAACGATTGACCTTGACAACATGTGCAGTGTCTCGAAATAACTTGGTTGGACTCTCTCTGACTAGCATGCTCGCTGAAGAACCTGACTGACTGCTACAGCATGCCCAACTATCCGTGAAGTAATGACCCTGCGAGAAAAACTGATTCACGCGGCAGAACCACAAAATAAAACGCCCACTGCCACGATACTATGGATATGAATCGACATGGTGGCAGGACAGGGAGTAGCGCCCGCGAGACCTGAAACTACAGTTCTGGTGGGTCGACCTCTGTTATGCCGGACTCGGAAAAACGATTCACGCGGCTTGCGCCCAAGTGGACGCCACACCGCAGCCCTAGCTGTATAGCGTTATCCCACTCTGCAATGGCATGCAGAAGGAAGGCACGTTCGTGCGTCAAGCCAGTCGTGGTCACGTTCTCGGGTTCCCGGAGTTGGCACCGAAATTAGCTTTCAGCGATCGAAATCAAAGCACTTGTCAGTGTAGGTATGGAGGTATGGATTCGCAAGCACCTCTTGTGCAGCACGTATGGGGAACAACCTTCTTTGGGCTTGCATGCACTGCCCCCAGTAACCTAGGACCTAAGCTGGAACATGACGGTGCACTGATGTGCTCACTTTGCTCAGAGCACGAGGCAAAAAGCACCACTGCCGTCACCTGCGAACAGCACTTCCAAGACGTCACAAATGCTGAGCCAGCTGAGCAGCGGCCTGTGGAAGCGCTTCCACATGGCCACAAAGAGTCGCTCAATGGCGCCAAACAGCGCATAAAGCGTTGCAATATATGCACCTCCGGGCTCATCGGCACCACCCACCATCTGTTGCAATGCAAAAGCCGGAGCATTTTTGTATCTAAGAGGTGCACAACGCATGAAGAGGTCTCGCCCGAGCGTTGGCGACACCCCCACCTTGTGGCCACGCATTCGGAAGCTTGTTGGCTGCAGCTCTACAAGCCACAGACTTCTGTAGCCAGAGCACCCAGTTGTCCTCGGCATCGTAGATGAGGTAGGCGTCGGATAGGAAGGCTTTAGAGAGCGCCAGCTTGTGAAGCGTCTCAGACGCCATGAACTCGTTGGACGTGACCTGACGCACACAACGCACACCGAGGTCTTGGGCCACGCTCAGCTCAGCTTTTGTGTGATCTGGTCTTTCAATATGCACTCGGGCACTGACCGCGAAGTTGTACAGCTGGTTTAAAGGAGCGCTGAGGATCTCGGTTGCAATCAAAGCCGGATTTCAGGTGCTCCCCAACAGCTGAGGCAAACAGGAGCTGCACAGGGTAAGGCCAAACTTCGGTCAAGAATCTGCAGATCCCATGGACGCAATAAAATCGCCGAAAAACCTTACTGGCTGAGACAAAGCAAACCATCATGATTGTCGATGCGGCTGGTCTCTGGTCTATGCGGCTGTATGGCACTGTAGGGCGTGAACTGCTGCGCTTCCAGGTGCAGAGGACAGCCGGCAGCCTCCGCGGCTCTGGCAAGGCCCGCCTGTGGCGGCGTCAAACGCTATTGACATCGAGGCGAACTTGCCGATTTACGTTGGACTTGCTCAGGTGAGTGGCGTTCGTGGGAATTGCAAGTGCTGACAATGCGCTTCAAACTGGAATTCACGCTAAAGTTAGCGCATGCTACGCCGACTCTGCAACATTAGCAACCGCAAAGGCCTGGCAAGGTGCTGAGAAAACTCGTAGCCCACTGAGTGCAACAATGTTTCCTCGGCTCGCGACAAGTGGGCAAAAATCCGGCAGTTTTATCGTCTCTCGTTTGAGACATGTCTCGCAGCACATGTGCAGAAGATCCGGGACCCCATGGCAAGAACGGGTTCCAGAGCGGCACCTAGCCAGGTCTGACTTTGGCAGCTGACGTCATGAGGAACCATACCGTCACGAGCCTGCACACCGCCAATTAATGCTTGATCTGCGTTGAAGGCCATCTGTGCCTCGTGGAACAGGATCTCGCAAAGACAGAAATGCGAAGAGGCGAAGATGAGACTCTGGCATTGATGGTCTGAGAAGGATATGAGATCGTGCTCTCGGCGAAAGAGCTGCACACGACAGCTAGGGGAGCCGACTGAAGTAGCTCCTGATCGTGCAGAGTGACAGTGACAGTGATGCCTTGACAGGCGATTCAAATCCCGTGTCCTTCAAGAAATGGAAGAGCGGTCCCATGACTATAAATTGTGGGCAACTCGGCGGCACGCATGCCAGGCCTGCTACGGACATGTGGTTTTCGCTTTCGTGCGATTGCGTGTCAGCAGCACGCAGCACACATATCGTCCGACGATGTGCGAACACACATGCAGAAACTTTGCGCACAGCCTCCTGTCCATCCAGCAGCAAAGCCGCCGGCAAACACGCTTGCATACAAGTCCTGCTCAGAGACACATGACACAAAGTCCTGCGATGATTTCCAAGTTTCAAAGGGAAGCACTCCAGCACGGCACCATTTGGACTCTGGCTTGCCAATGTCAAGGCATTCCGGAGAGGAGTCAAGAAGAATATGCCGAACCTGCGCCACTGCAAGCACAAAGTCTCACAGCGACATGCATGCCTTCAAGGAGGCTGTGGAGCGAACGGGCCACCAGCTGCACCAGCAAGGACGAGAGGTGTTTCTGGCAATTTGACCTGATATTCCACCATCGCAATTGACTTCCGAACCTGGTCCACACTGAGGAGTCTTCATGCAATCAGGACTAAGAAGCCTGCCGATGCACTGCGCCGACAACAACGGCCAAGCCAACTGCGAGAAGCCCGTGATGGGCCTCCCAAAGTGGGCAGGGCTTTCCCGCCTCAAGCGTCAGTGCGGAGATATTGGGACAAGCAACGCCGGAAAGAAACTTGCAACCAAGGATCTCATTGATGCACCATCCGCGACGAATTATGTTTGATTGCCTATGTATCGTGATCGTGCTCGTCATCATCTGACTCACTTATATGCTTGTACAAGGTCGTGTAAATAAGACTTGCCGGCAACCCAGATCCAAAAGCTGGCGGGAAGCATCGAAGTTTTTGGCACTTCTGCACTGCGTTCGATCGAACATGCCCCGGTTTTGCCTGTGAGTGCTGATCCGAGCCGAGAACGAGGAACGTCCCCTTCCATTCGACAGGCACCTCCGAGAATTCAGAAAGCCCTGTGAACACAACGACAAAGCAAACGTGCTACAATTGTTAAGTTCTCTTACCGTGGTTCCATTTCAAACCCATCCGACAGAACGGTCCACCGAACGAACGAATAAAAACGAATAACACTTGAAAGAGCTTCGGTGCATTTGACTTCGAGATTCCCGCTGAATTCACATCGGCAACACCTTCTAACTCGCAAAAAAGATCTCCTTGATCTGCATTCTTTAACAGCCCAGACTTTCTTTTTGGCATGGCGTGGTCAGGCCTCGTCGACGGCAGCTGCCGCACTCGGTCCTAGCAAGAAGCTAATGTGGCGGCGTATTTACGAATATGGATTTCTTTAATGCGTTTTTCCGGTGCTAATTCAAACCGGCGCCAAAAATTTGGGCGGTTCAATTGATGCGTTTTTTTTGGCCGGTGGATTTTTGGTGGGGGTGTCTGTGCTGTCTGCTGATGGTCAATCTTTAAGGCAGCCACGACCTAAACCCCCATCCAAACCCTGAAACCATGGCCCTGAAGCCCGAAACTCTCCCTAAAGCACGCATACTTAAACCTAAAACCCAAACCCTCGACCCCCCTCCCTGAACGGAAACCCAACCCTAAAACTCTCCCTAAACCCGAAAACCCACCTCCTTAAACCCACCCGCACCTGTTCCTAAGGTTTTTTCTAGGCTTTCTAAGGGGTTTAGGAAGGCTTGCCGAAAGTTTCGTAGGGTTAGTACGGAGTTATGAAGGGCTTTGTTAAGGTTTCAGGACAGGAATCTCAATGTTTTCGAGGTTTTCTAAGAGGTTTGGGAGGGCTGTCTTAAGGTTCAGGTTAGAAACTCAAGGTTTTCTAGGCTTACTGAGGAGTCAGGAAGAACTTTGCTAAGGTTCAAGATAGGATTCTCACGGTTTTCTAGGCTAACTAAGGGGTTAGGAAAGGCTTTCCGAAGGTTCAGGATAGGAATCTGAGGTTTGAAAAGCTCTCCAAAGGGCTTAGGAAGGCTTTCCTAAGGTTTCAAGACAGGAATCTCAAATTTTTTCTCGGCGCTAAACGGGTTCAGGAGGGCTTTCCTAAGGTTTTCTAGGCTTACTGGGGTGTCAGGAAGAGCTTTCCTCAGGTTCCAGGATAGGAGTTCTTGGGAGGGCTTTCCCAAGGTTCAGGATAGGAATCTCAAGGTTTTCTAGGTTTACTAATGGGTTAGGAGGGCTTTCCCAAGGATTCAGGATAGGACTCTCAAGGTTTTCTAAGCTTTCCAAGGGGTTTAGGATGGTTTTCCTAAGGTACAGGATAGGAATCTCAAGGTTTTCTAAGCTTGCTGAGGGGTGGGAAAAGCTTTCCTAAGGTTTCAGGATAGGAATCTCAAGGTTTTCCAAGCTTTCTAAGGGGTTTTGGGAGGGCTTTCCTAAGGTTTCAGGACAGGCATCTGAAGGTTTTCTAGGCTTTCTAAGGGGTTTAGGAAGGCTTTCCTGAGGTTCAGGATAGGAATCTCAAGGTTTTATTGGCTTACTAAGAGGTTAGGAAGGCTCGGGTTGTAGGTGGGGTTTACCTAAGGTTTCGGTCTTGGCGCTGAGAATTTGAACCTTTTTCTCAGGCACGGCAGGCTCAGGTCGAAGGTCGAACCTGAGCAGGATGGTGCTCTTAGTCTTTGTGTGCAGGTCTCAGATCGACGAGTGGCCCTGCGAAAGTGAGTTAAAACCTCAGCTTGGTGGACCCTGAGGTGGGGAGATCTAGGTTAATTACAGGCTGTTTGACTACTTAGGGGCAATTAGCTACTTAGTTAACCACCTAATTGATCACTTAATTTCTCAACTAGTTAACTACCTAAAAAACCCGAGCTTTTAAAGGAAGCCCACAACCCCAGCCTTTAAAGAGGCCCTCAGGTTCAAGTGCTGAGGATCCAGAAGCAGGAAGCTCAGGCTTCCTTCTTGGGGGCCGCCTTGGCACCCTTCTTAGCAGCTCAACCTTTGGCTCAGACGTAGCACCCTCAGTCGCAGCTCCTGGCTCAGCCTTCGGCTCAGGCTCAGCCTCCTCAGTTAAACTGTACGACCCCAAACGGTCACGCTTTTCTCTGCTTAAGCCAAAGGCGCTGCACGGTCAAACTATACAAACTATATACCGTAGCCTGGGCTCTATAAAGGTGTGGGCGCTCTAAACAGAAAACGCAACACCCTGCCTCGAAGTTCTTGTGCTGTACTTTCGAACAAACACGGTCCACCAACGGTCGGGCAAACCATCTGCCCAATCGTGAGCTTTCAGGGCTTCGCCTTTCCAGCTTCTTGGGTTGAAACAATCCATGCAACCCTCCTTTTACCTCCCGTAACAAGGCCTTCGCCAATCAGTGAAACACTTTTGCGCTCTTTTCTTCACGAGCTGTTGAGGGTTCTTGGTGAAACTTTTCCGGCCTACACTCACTACTTGTCGCCATTGACGTTCTCGTCATCGTAGAGCTTACGGATTTTCCTTTTCTTCTGACCACACTCACAACTCTAAGCTGAATGGTCCCTCTGTCCTAAGCTCGGTGCTGTCGGATGTTCCGGGCTCTGCTTCTCCAGTCTTTGGCTGCTGCTTCCTCACAGAACTGTTCTCGTGGTTTCTGGTCCAATACATAGTCCACGTCTCGCTGATCCTCGGACTCGCGGGAGATCAGACATCACTCCGTTTCCTCCTACATCCTGGTTCCTTCCATTTACTTGCCACATCTCTGATGCATTCTTCACACGTGCACCACGTGTGTCCGATCTTGTTCCTTGTACAAGTCTTCTCCTTGCACCAATGACACATCTTTCCGCAAAAATTGTTTCATACAGGTTCCAGTTACTCCAGTCATCATCCTTGGAACAGGAGTTTCCTCCTTGTCCATCATGAATTTGTCACTACGTGCTTCGCTCTGAACATGGTAGCAGCTCTACTTGTGGAAACGCTGTTCTTTAATCCGGTGTGGTTAAGATTCCCGACGTTGCACATACGAACACACAGAGTGCGATTCTTTGATACGCGTTCAGAACATGCGGAACTGCTTGCAGCATCACCACTGTACTATTCCCACTGCAAACACAACTGAATTCCTCGCACCATGCTCATGCTGTCCATGGCGCTTTCTTTGCAGGATTTGGTCGCAAAACAAACTTCGCTTCAAAAAGATGCTATGACGACAAGCTCCACGCTGGCAAACAAACTCGCACACAACAGTGCTGTTGGAGAAGATTCTTAAAGCCTTCGAGAACTTATGCGGACGCTAACCATTCCTAACGGCTTACAGCAAGCCCAGCTCAGGCAATGAAAAGACAAGCAATGGAAGTGAAACACTGTCCTGCAAAAGCTTTGAAAACCTGGCCTTCTACCTAGAAGCGAGACCTTTCAACCTTGGACTCATTGGCTGGCCTTCATTGCCGCTGGTTTTGGACTTTTGGACTTGTGGATTTTTTTCAGTGCACAATCGACACATAACGAATGGCGGCCGAAGCGTCGACTTGGACTCCACTGAACGGTCTTGGGCAACTTTGGGCGACAGCCCACGGTCGCTAAGGACCTAGCTGGTGCTGAAACGGCAAAACCTGGGCGATACAGCTAGTTCTGCCTTTTTAGGAATCTTGTTTTGCTGTTTTCGTTTGTACTCTTTGTGCTACTCTGCTCCACGTGGCTGCTCTTTATGCTCTCCGTCGAATGTGTGACGGCATACCAACGGTCAATAGCCGCATATCTGGATCGGTGTGTGTGTTTGTGTGTTGGCAAATAGAGCGCAGACTACTATGGGTTCGGCTTCCAAGTCGGCGCCACTCTTGTCCAAGTTGATTTCGAGGCTTTGATCACGCTGCGGTCTTCCGCCATACCTGTCGAACAGTCGTTGGACTTTACGAGGGCACTGACTTTCTGCGTGCGTCGGCCATCCATGATGCAGTAGATGGTATACAGCCAAGGTCTAACTGGCGCACTGCGCCTTCTTTCAACTTGGCTGATGCCGACGCTGTCGGCAGAGCAGTGCTGGACGAGGCGGTAGGGTCAGTACTGCCGCTGGCAGTCTTGTGAGTCTTTTTCTTTTTCTTCTCCGAAGGGAGAATCTTGACCCAACCACCCTTGCCTTTGCCCTTACCCTCTGGGTGCCATTGGAAGCCGCTGGCTTCCACCTTAGCAGCCACGTGGCCCTCTAGGGCATCCACCCAATTGAGTCTCCACTGGAGCTTGGGTACATTGTCTTCCTCCCCACTGGGGGGCCAGTCAAAAAGGCCGGTATACGGCCAGCCAGGCGTGGCCGCTGGCCGCATAGGCACGTCGCGCTGCGACATAGTATACCGGTGCATCGGATAGGCACTGCCTGAGGTGTCCGGTTGTTCCCCCTGCATCTGCGCAAAAGGGTAGAAGGGGGGCCAAACTTTGGATTCCCCTTCCCCTGCTCGATTGAGGGCTTCGTGGTCGTCGCTGACGACCGCGGGGTCTACCCGCATGGCGCAACTAATGGCCCAAAGGAGATAACTTATCTCCTGTTGTGCCATTTCTTCACGCATGGCCTGCTCTAGCACAAATATTGGATTGCACTGCAAAAAGCGGAGGCAGGAGCGACACTGTCGCACGCGTTGCAGGCATTGTGGCGCTGCCAACTTGATTTTCCTGACCGTCCCTCCTAGGGTACGGCGCCTCTGGCGACTCAGCCGCATAAATGCGTGCTGCTTGGTCAACCATAACTGGCACTGACAGTTATATCAAAGGGAGTGGAAGGTCGTCGCTGACGACCCCCACTGCTGCGGAGCACT